AGAGTCCTAGTTACGGGCAGTGAATTGACCCCTGAAATCAGGTGAAATTCCCAATTTTCTCCCTAACTTTCACTTGGCTCCTTAAAGTACTTTGAATCAGCAGAACTGAAATCTTTGCAGACCTGGAGAGCTTTGGGCAAATTACTGGGAACATGCTTTAGGAAAAAGCGACAGAGTTGCCATGAAAGAAAAAGAGAAAGAAAGAAAAGAAAGAAAGAAAGAAAGAAGTTAAAGAGAATGCTATATCCCTGTTATTCATTAAAGGGTGTTAAACACACCTGGATGCTATTTAACAACGTTTGCCATATAATTGTGTTTATTATAGGTCAGGATTCATTTTTCTCTCTAGGAAGAGCATACATTAGTGAAACAGGTGTCAAAACTTGATTAATTTCTTTGAAAACAAAACCGAAAGAGATGAGTGGCTTATGCTTTGGCAAAATGCACTTTCTGATAATAAACATAATCATATTTAATTGAAAAGGATTGTAGGAGGCTATGTCACCTTTTGGAATTAAGCCGCTTCAGAGTTGGAGGATATTAAAGGGATCCAATTAAAAGTTTCTCCAGCCCACTGAAATCCCGTTATGCGATTGCTTATATAAAAGCTTATACAATTTGTACACTTCATTTGCTCAGAACACTTGGGCCGTGTTTCAAATGCAAAACAGCAGAATGGTAGGATTTGTTTTTTTAAAAAGACAGCTTTTCACCCTACAGTATAAATAAAGGCTATGGTTCTCATGGATTAAAGGGAGGGTCTTAATACTTTTCTATGGGCCAAGCCCTGCATGCCTTGGTAGTTAACAAGGGAGTCTTAAATGTTTGGAAGCACCAGAAAATGCCTTGGTTGACAGCCTTGTGAATGTCTGAGACTGGATTTGATTCGAAGCCCTAGCTCTAATATAACAATATACTGTGCTCAACATTGGAAAGTTTGTTTTTTAATGTGACCATTGTATAGCCCTTATTTTGAAGATTATAAAATAGGCTTGTTTTTATTATAACTTAATTACAACATAGGCTTCTTTTAAAAGTTAAAACTCATTAAGTGAAACCTGGTGGTTTAGAGTATTTGTTATGCCTAGTAATCAAAACATAGGACACGGTAAAAGCCATTTTTGTGTCTTGTGTTTGTAGAAGGCCAAATACACCTCCAAATGACTATGAATAATCTGCCTTCTGTTTTAAACCAACTTTGAAAATTTAAAAAGACAAAATTTGGCATCCTCATAGCACTGTGGTTTTCTTTTTCTACCAAAAGAAAGAAAACCTGTTGTGCTATAGTCAGAAAAAAAAATTAAACACGTAGATCCCTTTTGAATACCTACTCTGTGCTAGTCAACTTCCTGATTTCTCTCACATCACCACATTTTATTAGAAAGCCCATAATTTTTAAAAATGGCCTGAACAGAGCTATATTGCTATAATTTATTCATGCAAAGCTTTTATTCCAAGTGGGAGCATCAGCTTCTTTATTCCTAAGAGTTAGCTGAATTCTGTCTCCCTTCCCATGTATTTCTGGAGACAATAGAGAAGGAAGTTATAATTCCATGTGAGAAGTATCACTTTATTTCACTAGAAATTTCTGTGTAAAGTGTTGCTGAAATAGAAACTCCCTAAATACTAAGAACTAAATGCATCGTATTCATGAAATCCAAGTCTAGATTCCCAGATATTTTTGTGCAAATTCTGATCTGCTATACTTTTTTTAAAAAAAATCTGTTATAAAACTATGGAAGATATCTAGAAAGACCCATTGTTCTATTTATGTATTTGAATTGGGGTCACTTGTAGTCCAGGCTAGTTTCAAGCTGGGGATGACCTCGAACTATAAACATTCTGCCTCTACCTCTCCAGGACCATGTGGGGATGGAATCCAGGCTTCATTCATGCCAGACAAGCACTGTACCAACAGAGCTGTGTCTTCCCCTCACCCATGGGTTTTTTGTTTGTTTTGTTTGCAGGATTACAGTTGCACGTAGCCCTCCAAAGCATATACTTTAACTTGGCACACAGCAGTCCAAGTTTGACTAAAATTCATTCCAGTCTGGATGCCATCCATTACACTATTGTGCAGTTAAGATGGACAGATCTTTAAAAATCAGCTCCCAAATGAACACAATTTAAAACAGAACCTGAAAAAAAATTGCTTTCATGTTAAATATGCACTGGAATTTAGGGATGGGGAACAGTAAATCAAACCTCCCTATGAACAAAAGAACTTGGAGACCACCTGCATCATAAAGAAAGAGATTCTGTTTTCTAGGTTCATTAACTAAACCAAACCTCTTTCAAACTTGAGATCAACCATATAGAATTTGAACAAACTGGTTTCTAGTAGTGCTTTGGATATCCTGGGGGAATTCCCTTCCATAGTGTGATAGTATAACAACACAGAAAGGAAAGGTGGCAAATACCTTTGTTCCCTGCCAGGGTCCTATTTCATAGTTCCAGAGATATTTAAACCTTCTAATTATTGCTGTCTTTAAACAGCCTGAGTATTGAAGCAGATCTTTGGAACATCTAACTGCTGGTTTGATGTTGGAACTGTCATTTGGAGGAAAGGGCCATTAGTTTTTCCATTGATGTTTACGAGCTACTAAGATGGGATGGTTGTGTTTTAAAAGCATAAATACTTACACCAAATAGCATCTTTACAAACTATTTTAGCAAGCTCATTCTATAGAAAAGTTAGAATGATAGGAATATAGCATTTTAACAGAATTTGTTTTAGTCTATGTATAAGGTTGTAGAGCTTTCATCCTACTATTTAGATTTTATCTAGGAAAAGTCAACGTTGGAAGTTTCTAATAAGTCATTGTCTTTTCCTGTTGGGGCAGCAGTGTTTGGAGATAGCTGTTATTCCATAGGAAGCTCATTATCATGCAAAACAAACAAAAAAACCCCACTTTTTAAAGATAGGGTCCAGCTGTGTAGCCCAGACTATCCTGGAACACATGAACCTCCTGCCTCAGCCTTCCAAGTGCTGGGATTGCAGACATGCATCCCCATAAATAGCTTCAGAAATCTTTGTATGTAACAATCGTACCCTGTTTTGAGAGCTGTGCCCACCCCATCAGAAGTTCATGGATATGAAGTTAAGACTTCTCGTCTACTTAGACTATGGCAGTCATAGTACCCGACCCCATGGTATTTCATTGTTGCCCCCCTCCCCGTTGTCAGTTTATAAGATGTAAATATATCAGAATGAGAAAGGGGAGAAGATAGTCTTGAAATTAATCCAAACCTTTTACTTGGGAACAGTTCCTATTAAAACCACTATCTTGGACAGACATGGTGATATGTCCTTGTAATCCCTGCATTTAGAAGGCTCACATAGGATTGAGAGTTCCAGGCCAATCTACATAATAAGATACCAACTTAAGAAATAACAGTACCCCAGTGGAATTAGCACTTGTTGCATTAAAAAATAAATGCATCCCAATCACTCAAATCCTACAAGGTGTTGTCAAATACAAAGTATAATAAAAAACAGAACAAGATCAACAGATTATAGTCATGACATTGGAAATTGTTAACAATAACACCAAAGTAATTGCATTTTAAAATTTCTTCTAGATAGCTGCTCTGGGGTCATACTAAGGATGTAAAATTTGCCTTTAATTAAAGGAAATGAGCTTGACTTCAAAAATTCTAAGCTCCTTAGTTTAGCCTTCCTTTCCTCTAAAGAATATTTAAAAACCCTTACCAGGATATTTTTTAAACTATCTTCAATTATTAAGTAGAAAAACTCACTGAAAATATTTTTATATCTTATTCTTTTTTATATTTATATCCTCATTATACTATATATATTTATATTCTTATTAGACTTTTTAAAGTACAATATTCATTGAAAAGTGATCTGGATCAGCAAAATTTTAATGTACACTGTCAAGTATTCTTCAAAGATTTTTAAAGTTTTTTTCATCCCATCAGTTCATTCAGGCTCTATAAACATAGTCTCCAGACAGCCGGGGACCACAGAGACCACAGGATTCATAATCCATGATGAGTTTGAAACATTTGCCTTCCTTTGAGAATCAGGTCCTGCCCTCAGGTATTTGTGGTGTGTGGTGAGACTGTCAATGCTTTGGCAGAGACTAGGGAGAGCCATATAGAGAATGTCCAGGAGAAAACAAATTTGGCAAGTAATATGCTACTGGGCACCACACACACACACACTCTCACTCACTCATATCAATCCTCAGCTTGCTCTTCCCTGAGTGTAGAGAATGTTTCATGTCATAGAAAAGCCAAGACAGCTTGTTAGAAAAACCCGTATCATAAGCATTCCGATCACTGTTACTAGTGTTAAACATTTGTGCTTTTTAGAATGTTGTACTGGGAAAAGACCTCAAAGCCATTTTTCAGCCAAATTAGAAGATCTTTCATTGGAAACCATGACTAGAATATTTTTTTTTTCTACCGTGGCACTGCCTCACTAAGGTCATTGATGCTTTCAGAAGGAAAAAGGTGATTTCAATGATCACTCTATTTGTATTGAGAAAATACAATTCGCAGCTCTGAGTGTGTAGCTCACTGGTGGAGCATTAGCCTAGTGTATATAACGTCTTATGTTCAATTTCCAGATAAACACACTCACTGAATTGTGGTTCCTATGCATGCCTACCATTCATAAAAATTTTTAAATAAAAAGCAGAAGTCTGGCTATCAGAAAAGTTTATAGATTAAAACCATAAGAATCCAAGTCACCACCGGGCGTTGGTGGCGCACACCTTTAATCCCAGCACTCAGGAGGCAGAGGCAGGCGGATCTCTGTGAGTTCGAGGCCAGCCTGGTCTCCAGAGCGAGTGCCAGGATAGGCTCCAAAGCTACACAGAGAAACCCTGTCTAAAAAAAAAAAAAAAAAAAGCCAAGTCACCAGGTAGCCATTCACAGGTGAATGAAAAGTGTTAATCAGGGTTGCCCTCACGAAGTGTGTTGAATTTGACCCCGGCCCTTCCTGCCCAGGGTACTGTTCTCTCACTATGCAGATGCCGTCCTCAAAAACTCACACGCTCTTGCCAATCTGCTCTCTCGAAGGTACCTACCAGGGCCAGTGGGCTGGAGGCATGCGGCATGGCTACGGCGTGCGCCAAAGTGTGCCCTACGGCATGGCCACTGTGATCCGCTCCCCACTACGCACCTCACTGGCCTCCCTGCGCAGCGAACAGAGCAATGGTAGTGTGCTACACGATGCTGCTGCAGCTGCTGCAGACAACCCAGCTGGCACGAGAGGCGGCTTCGTGGTCAACTTCCACGCCGACACGGAGCTGGGCAAGAAGAAAGGTGGCCTCTTCCGACGGGGCTCCCTACTTGGTAGCATGAAACTCCGCAAGTCCGAATCCAAGTCTTCCATCTCCAGCAAGCGCAGCTCGGTCCGCAGCGATGCAGCCATGAGCCGAATCAGTTCCAGTGATGCCAACTCCACAATCAGCTTTGGTGATGTCGACTGTGATTTTTGTGCTATGGAAGATCATGTGGATGCCACCACCACAGAAACCTACATGGGCCTGTGGAAGAACGATAAACGCAATGGCTTCGGCATCAGCGAGCGCTCCAATGGCATGAAGTATGAAGGCGAGTGGGCCAATAACAAGAGGCATGGGTACGGCTGCACCGTGTTTCCCGATGGCTCCAAGGAAGAGGGAAAATACAAAAATAATATCCTAGTCCGTGGAATAAGGAAGCAGCTTATACCAATAAGAAATACAAAAACTAGGGAGAAGGTGGATAGAGCGATTGAAGGCGCACAAAGGGCTGCCGCCATGGCCAGAACCAAAGTGGAAATAGCAAACTCAAGGTATGTGAATACAGACAGGGTGGGTGGTTTGGCTTAAGGCAGGGATGGAGGTTCTTCAGAACACTGTAGTTTTCTGTCTTTCTGATGATGGTATGGCCAAATAGGTTCCCAGTACACTTAGAGGGGGAGGGGAGAAAAGACTGAAAATTTGACTTCAACAGAATGAGAGTGAAAAACCATTTTCAAAAATGTTGAAGGCACATGGGACAATCTTTCTGTTCTGAATTGTGTCCCTGATATTTAACAACCTGATGGAGTTCATTCAGAAATCCTTCTAAGTCCAGAAAGTTAATATTTTTTAAAGTGCCTCTGAAATACTGTCACTGCTTTGTGTGTTAAAGTGATAATATCCCTTTGTGTAGAAACATACCTACAATACAGGTTATATACCTTTATTATGATATTAAGTTGATCACAGTTACAACTCCTCAATAAGATTATTATAACTTAGGGAGTTAAAATTCTGTTCGAGGCTTTTTGAATCAGCTTTGAGAAAAAACGCAGAGGTCTGGGAGAAGATAAAGCAAAAGGGGAGAGGATGAAATCTAGCATGGATGTTGAAAAAGCCAGAGCTCCTCCACAGGAACAGACCAGAAGGCCAAGGTTGGGAAGCATCGCCCCAGTCTGTGCAGGAGAGATTAGATCACTTGTGTATTAAAAGAAATGGGTGGAGAGAACTTGACGTGGACAGATGGGATTCTTAGTGTGCCAAGGTTGGAAGAAAGTAGAGCAGTTGAGAGGAGGGCTGGCATAAGCAGGAGAAAACGGGTTGGTAAGAGGTGGACAGAGGGATGCATGTGGGCATGGTAGAGTTCTGTGCTTGAGGTTTTACTCTAGAAACTAAGCTCCGTGGTTCAGCACAAGGGATGGAGACACCTGTAAGGACAGAGTTTTACTAAGGATAAGCACCATCAGTTAGACAGCGCTGGTTTTGCTTGGAGGTTTTAGTTTTAGGGGTTAAGGACTGGCCATAGTTATGTGTGACTTGAGACATAAATCTGGCATAGAATGTTTAAAATCCTGCTTCTGCTTCAATAATACTCATCTGCCTTAGTAAACTTTCCTCTGAAACCACAAAATATTAGCACACCTTTGGATGTTTATTCTTAGTACTGAAATCAGAGAGTAAGCCCACCCCTTTTGGTTGGACCATAGGGAATTTAGTTTTTTAAAAGATTTATTATTTATGTGTAAGTGCCTACATGAGGTTATGTGTGCCACATGCTGGGTCCCCTCAAGGTCAGAAGAGGATGTCTGGTGCGCTGGAGCTGGAGTGATAGGCAGCCATGAGCTACTGTGTGGGTGCTAGGAACCAAACCCTGGTCCTCTACATGAGTAGCAGGTGCTCTTAACCACTGAGCCTCATCTCCAGCCCCAGTATTTGAACTTTTAATACACAAAAATGTGGTAAATTCATAGTTGTTCTTTAACACTTCAAGAATTCTAGACTCGTTTGCCTTGTTTTGAATACTACTGTTTTACAAGTACTCTTGCATCTGAAACAATAATTGGAAAGTGAAAAGAAGTCACTTTTTTGTATTATTTTAGACATCACAGTTTTCTTCACCTCAAACGCCCATGCAAGATTTCTCCTGCACCCTTTCCCGAGCACCCTCTGGTGTAACAGTTTTCTTTGCTAAGCACTAGATCTGCATACATTTCAGGGTACTTGGCTCATGCAGTCTCTCTGGCTTTGCTGGCCCTCAGCTCCCTTGTAGAGCTGACACTGCATGCTTTGCTTGCTAGGCCCCAATCTCTAATTTTAAATGCACTCCTGGAATCTTCCATTCCGTGCTCTCCTTACAAGTTAGTGGCACACTGCAGGCAAGTTCAGGCTTAGTGGATGGGAAATAAACCTGTGCAGGACACTCTCACAAAGGATGTATTCTAACTATTGGTTTTCATGACGAGTTAGATTATAAGAAACATACCTAACTGAAGGGTATACTTGGGGCACAGAGACAATCTCTGACTATCCTAGCATCATCAAACGATTTCCCAAATCAGAGCCACAATCTTCTGTTGGAACACTTGGAGAGAGTAGCATGTGGATTGGGGACACTGTGTCATATGTTGATATATTGTGTCATGTAGTCAATAGCCCAGGCATCTTTAGACCTTAGACTTTCAGCAGCTGAGGTTTCATTTAGCAACTTAAAAATACTCAATGCATTATGCTAAATGAAATGAACTAGTGACAGAAGGACAAATACTGTTTGGTGCTGCTTACATGGATCATCTGAAATGGCCAAAGTAAAACACAGAACAGAATGGTGGTAGTCAGGGAATTAGGTGAGCTAAGTAATCACTGGCTGAGGGTTTGGGGTTGAGGAAGTGTAAAATGTGTCCGTTTGAGAGGTCCATGCAGCGCTGTGCCTGTAGCTCACAGCATTCAACCATGCACTTCATTTTTTTTTTTTAAAGAGGGCTGGAGTTGTATGAGGTGTTTTTGTTTTCCCACAACATAAAGCTAGTATTCAGATGACATAACAGACAAAAAAATTAAAAACTCTCAACTAAACTTTTCTACCTTCTTTTATTTCCCAGTGCCCTGGATGCAGTAGATACTTTAACACAGAGTTTTGACTTTATCTTTGAAGAAGGTAGCTGACTGACTGATATTCCCCATGAAATAGTTGTTTAAGGTTGATGATATTAGTAGGTATTAAATACCACAGAGTAGATATACAATGTGTAGATGACTTACTAGCAGATTAGCCCTTTAAAGGTCAAAATTAGAGCCTGGGAGATGGCTCAGTATGTGAAAGTACTGACCACTAAGCCTAATGACCTGAGTATAATCCCCCAGACCCACTTGGGGAAAGGAGAGAACCGACTCCTGCAGACTTTTTGCTGATCTTCAGATACATGCTTACATATGCACACATTGGAAAATGTAATTGTTTTAACTTAAAATTAAAACTAGAAGGGATGCTGATAATTTGTTGAACCATGGAACTTTTCCTCAGGTTCTGCTCTGATTCAAAAAGTGTTGTAAAAAAGTGACATTTTTTTCTTCCCTTCTTGTCTTGATTGGGGTAAATTCATTTTCAGTGACTAACACAGGTCTCAGCTCTGTTGCTTAAGAAATCTTAGATAGGAGAACAGATTAGATTATTTCAAGAAGGAAGCATGCCTAGCCATTGCTAAGCTTCCATGCCAGTGGCTGACCTCAGCCTCCCTGCTATGTAGATGGCATACTCTCTGAGAGACTTCCAAACCAGGGAGAATATGCCAGCACCCAAACCCAGGCCCCTTGTCTTTCCTTCATCCATGGTTACCCTTTGATGGGGCCTAACCAGCTGGACTCATGGAAATATTTAGAGCATTATACCTAAGAATGTCTCCCCTACAGCATTGTGCTGCTTTATAGAAGTCTGTTTGGGTAGAGAAGACTAAAGGTCCCAGCTCCAGAACTTGAATAGCTCTAAGATCATATCTGATTCACTCCCCTCATATTCAGAGATAGAGATGAGGCTCCATCCAAGATTACCCACTGTCCATCTAAATGACCCGCTACCAACACTCATGACCATTCTCTTAGCTCTTTCTCTAGCAGTTTCTTCAGTCATCCTTGTTCTGTCAATCCTGTTTCTTGTTCAGTCACCATTTATTCCATTGTGGCTCCAGTAATTCCTGAAGTAAGATGTTCAAGGAGGTTTGTAATACTTGAGAAAAAAATGTTGTAAGGAAGAGAAAGCATTTAGTTGAAAGAGTGAATGAGAAGTGGTTCTGACAGAGCCAAACTTAGAAACTTATAGATATTCAGGGAGGAGTTCGGACAAAAGCAGAGTTTTATCTTAGGCTGAACCTCAGGAAACAGTCATCATAGAAGAGGGGTGATACACTGTAAGAGTGTGAGAGGGGCAAGAGAGCTGACCTAGAGCCACTAAGGACCTAAATGAATGCTTTTGCTAGTGTTATCCTATAATAGCCTCAGGAAGAGGCAGGGCAATGGTGGTCAGAGCACTCACAGGAATTATTCCTTCTGCACATCTGTCCTATTCAGTTTCATGGAAACTAGTGGGGCTCACTGGTGTGGAGCTATCCAGGCTTCAATCTTGAGATGTCAGTAACCATGGAACAGAACAAGTAGCTGTACTGCCACCATCAACCTCACCCAGACCACCCTCAGCACTTCTAGTGACAAGAGTATTACATGATCTAGACAGGCAATGAACCAAGGAACACTCCTCTCCTCCCTGCTAGCCTCAGATGTACCGCTGTCAGCAGAGTGGATATCAGAAGTATGGAAGCAAAAGTATTAGGAGGGCCTTGGGTTCAGGTGACTTGGTGCACAAGTCAACTTGCTGTATCTGTCTTCAGAACTCCAGGGTGGATTTCATACTTTTCTGTAGAATTTGTAAAGACTGCCGCCCATACTTTTACAGTTTCTTACCCCCTCCCCACTATCACTATCTTTCTTTCAGAGCTTTGCCCTGGCTCCCCCTGGCCAGCTCTTCAGTTCTCACTCAGATGTCAATATATGTTCCCAAGGAAGGTACACAGGACTCTATTTTCTCCTCCCCACTCCATCCTCTTCTGTGTGGATTAAGTTCCCATGTTAATCTAGGTGCCATTACATGGCAATCATATGTTGACTCTCACTTCCCAGCTGGATTGGGAGGAGCTGACCCTACTGGTAGCTCTGGTCCCTTTTGTGTCCCCAAAGTGAGCTTTGATCAGGGAACAGTCAATTAAATTAAATTCTCATCACTCAAAGTTTGAACACTGCCAGGGTTTCTGATATGGTTTCACCATGCATTTATGAACTATAGTTTGAAGGAAGAAAATGTAGTGCTAGTAACTTGTTGTGCCATGATAGTCAAGGAAGTATAGAAAATGCAGAATTGAGTAAGACAGGTACCCCTTTTCCTCATGAAACCAACAGGGCTTTGAGGTATGTTGACAAGGTATCTCCTTTCTCAGTGGGAGTTGAGCTGGTCCAATAATAAACAGTAATTCCTCTACAGATTAGGAACCTCCAGGAATTCAATCCA